CATTTGAAACAGCATGGGGACAAGCTTTGACGTATAATGAATATATAAATAATGTTTATCATAATTGATTAAATAATAACTATTACATAGGTATAATTAGCATCGAAAGATAGTTTTTGTAATACGTGTAATGTAATGAAATTGCTCCGATTTGTATAAATATTTTTCACAAACTTTTTGACTAATTAAAAACAAAGTTTCCGTACGATCGTTTCGTTTTTCCTCATTAGAATATTAACAACATATTTTTCGTTGTATTGCAGAATCTAATTATCAGCATGATTTGTATGTTCAGAAACTCCAGAACAAATCTGAACCTGCAAAAGTCACCGTAATGTCTTCAAGTGAGCTCAGTGTAACTATAAGTGACCCTGTCCACAGCAGCGTTTCAGTGGCCGTAGTTATCATACCATGCTTTGCGGTGATCGGTATTATTCTTGCTTGTATCGCTTTGATAATATACGTCTGTCGATCTAATAATAAGGCATTACACAGTTACGATAATATTGGAGAGTGTTACACGTCTAATAGTGAGAATTGTGACGTAGAACGCCGTGATGCCAAATACCACAGTAATCCCATTGAACTAAGCACATTCTTAGAATATTTACCTATTATACAAGATTCCGTACCAGGCAGTGATGTAGTGTCTTGTGGTGGAAAGCATGCAGACACTAGACGATTTATTGAAAGTGAATCACTTTAGTTAATAAGTAATTATACAAACGTAAGCATCGCCAGTGTATGTATTGTGTGGCATTAAGTGTGGCATGTCAGTCTTTGAGTTAGAAATGCTATATGTGTGCATTATATGAAATATCCAAGAAAGTAACAGTTCGGGTATGAGGTACAGTTGGTGAACAACTTTTAAAAGTATTGTAATTTAAATGCGTTTATGTGGACGTTGTCGTGATTTATATTATAGTACCGTTTTCATTATACTTGGTATGCTTTCAATCTAACCGTCCCTGTCACAAACAATAGTCTGTGGCAATTGTTGTATGAAAATCTGTCATAGTGATATATCAACTAAGTACATCGAGAATGTTTTGTTGTAACCTATAAATATTTCATTTGATTGTCCTAAATGTAGCGACAGACGCTTAGCATAACTGTTATACAAAACTGCAATTACATTCACAATTACATTCACCGTAATAAACGGTCGATTAATAAAATACGTTATGCTCTAATTGCTGAGGTCATATTTTGGTTACTCTACAAATATAATATATACAAATAGCAAATACTGTAAAACATGTTGAAAAAGCGGCATGCAATTTTAGCGAATTGTGGTAAAATTACGTAATAGCGAAATGTTGATTTAGCGAATCTCTCGTCATTGTTGATTTCTTTGTTTGGCCACCATTTTGAATTGATAATATAGTCATTAGCGACATCTTGAATTAGCGAATCAGTTCTCACGCTAAATTCGCGAAAAAACATGCGCGCGAAAAAGACATGTTTTACAGTATGTACCGCATATATTTTCACAAATCTGCAAAAGAACAATATCACCGCACAATTTGCTGGCTATTTAGCGCAATATATGTGGGCGAAAACAAGTTACATTACCGAGATAGTAATCTGGGGACAAATTAGAGAAATTAATCTATTAAGCTTACTACGAGTTTCCTGTCGTCTGTTATCTGTCAAAATTAATCGCTAAACATGCATTGAATGTTCAAGTAATTTTTCATCCAAATTAATAACATCACAACGTGAATAAATCTAGTCTAAGTAACTAGTGCCCTCTAGTGTTCATTTATTGTATGCGGGGGTGTGTGCGTGTGTAGAGGGAACAATGCACTTATTACATTGTTGGCGCACTGAGAATGTGATATACACGGCTACGTTCTAACATGTGAACATCACAGAAGTCTGGATAGTTATCATGAGTTTGCTGACCAGAGTGAACCCGACTGTGTGAGCTCGCGCATTGAAATCCCTAACTGACGGTTTCAAGCAAGACAAATAAACAACGGTGTCAATGACCCGGGTAGGAATGGGGGTTGTGTGCCCTAGACATATAGTTACGATACTGCGATTCTAAAAGCGTTATGAACACGGCTATTACCTAACTGACCTAACCCGTCGCGGTCACAGAAGTATATGTAAAATTATGTACGCTGTATACACTGGGAATCATTGAAAATCCCCACATCTGGTCCTACAAGCGTGCATGGCATGGTTTTGCTAACCACGGTGGATCTGAGAATGACAACATGTTTAGAGACCCACAGACATGCACGTTTTGCAAACAAGATCTTGAAGGTCGTTACACTATGATATGTTATATGACACGAGACTGGCTACGACTGGTTTCAATCGTAATAAAGTATACTGTGACGTGAATACAGGCTTTGTGTGGGGCTACTCAGCATAAGCTGAGAGCTTATTTTCAGTACAGGTCGATAAATAATTCCTCTGGTAGGGTGCTTGTCCTACAAGCCTTCACTTTTCTCCAACTCTGCTATTTACGGTGGCTCACAAGTGACAACATATATTTAATTCATCGCGGCAAAACTCTTATTACTTCACGGCAAAACTCTATTATTTGACCGCAAAACTTTATTATTTGACGGCAAAACAATATTACTTCACGGCAAAACTCCACAGTTTAACGGCAAAACACATTACTTCACGGCAAAACTCCACTGTTTGACGGCAAAACCTTATGACTTGACAGGCAAAAAATTTTTACTTCACGGCAAAACTCCACAGTTTAACGGCATAACACATTACTTCACGGCAAAATTATTATTTCACGGCAAAACCTTATTATTTGACGGCAAAACTATATCATTTTATGGCAAAACACTATTACTTCACGGCAAAACTCCACAGTTTGACGGCAAAACTATATTATTTTACGGCAAAATACTATTACTTCACGGCAAAACTCTATTATTTGACGGCAAAACTCTATTATTTGACGGCAAAACTTTATTATTTGACGGCAAAACACTATTACTTCACGGTAAAACTCCACAATATCACGGCAAAATTATTATTTCATGGCAAATCCTTATTATTTCACGGTAAACACTATAATTACTTCGCGACAAACTCCACAATTTGACGGCAAAACTTTAATTAGTTGCGGCAAAGCACTGTTATTTCGGAACAATACTCCATCATTTGTCACGGCTAAACTCTCCGCGTCACGGCAAAAATCTCCATATCCCATCCTCACACCGTGACATTTGTGGCGATATATACTTTTGCCAAACGATTCCCGCCCTATGACAATAGCTACAGTGGCCCACAAGTGACAACATACATTTAATTCATCGCGGCAAAACAATATTATTTCACGGCAAAACACTATTACCTACGAGCATATATATAAGCTTTCTCTTATTTAATAAATGAACCTTAGCGGACACTAGTCAGTCACTCACTCAGATTAGATGGGAAATAAATGAAATCAAAATGATTGATCGTTGTTGAAAGGAAATCTCCTCTCTCCGACACATATCCACGTAGATCGGCGCCTGCTAAACTGATTAAATGGCTTCACTACAGTTATCTGTAGATTGTGTATTGGGATTGTCAGCGCTACATCGCTTACTGTGCTACTATATTATATAACACCGGGAGTATTTCAAACATTAAGTTTACAAAATGCATTAAAGCAAAAATTACTAAGCTACCTGGTGTCAGCAATCACCATTTAGGATATCACCGTCAGTTTCTGACTGAGTACTGACTGAGGATTTCCACTGACTGAGGATTTCTACTGACTGAGGATTTA